CGGCGGCGACTACGGCGAGTCCAGTTACGGTGGTCACTCGTATTAGAACTTATTACTAGCGTCTGACGACTACCCGACCGTGCTGGGCCACGATCCACGGGCAACCACGTCACCGCGACGCGAGGAAGAGGGTCGTATTTATTTCCGCTTGATCGTACTCTCTCGATATTCGCTGCACTGGGAACAGGGGCTGAGACGTTCGATCGAGCCGCCGATTTTCAACGACGACAGATTCGGTCGGCGTTATTAGTTGCTAGTACTTCTTTTTTATAACTTTTGATACCTGAGTACCTAAGAACACATACTTGTATACACTTGTATTTTTGTACAAAGATGCTGCGTGTCGCCGAGTGGACGCGACGATATCACCTCTGTACCGTGTCTTTCGCTTCTTTCTAATAAAACCAAAGAGCAAAATTCAATTATCTGTTTTCTCACCGATACGCCTATCCAGATTACTCGAAACTAGGAATTCACGAAAATGGAGTGTTCTTTGTAACTTTCCACGGCTAATAGGAATCGAAGTTGTGAAGTAACCAGTCTTGAATAATGTAACCTAACGATCTGCCTTTTCAGGAGTGTTATTAAGCTTGTCTTTCCTGTCGCGCGGAGAAGTTGATTAATCGGCTTCCGGTGGAGTGTTAACCACGCTGCCTGTCAATCCTGCTCCGTCGTTAAATGCAAATGAAATTTGGTTTACGAGATTGTCTTCCGCAAATCTGCTTCCTGCTTTTCCTATCGAATAGCCGGCACGAATCAAGGCCGTGATTCTGCGGTTTCGCCCGTTTCGTAACGTTGCTCGGCGAGCAGCGGGGGCATGTCAAATGGCCCATTAAACGCGGAACCTGCGATAACATCTTCGATCGCGCTTTCCACGACAAGCGTAACGCGACGCTGCGCCCGTGACGGGGCCGGCTGCCCGGGAAAATTCGAAAGTAACGTTAAAGCCCGCCGCGCGATTCCGTCTGAGCCGTAAACGCGGAAGCGGCGCGGTGCCGTAATTAGCGCAACAAAAACCGGCCGGCAATTAGCTGGGCCCGAAGAAAGGGAAAGTTCCATCCGTCTAACCGATACGTAACATATGATGATATCACGCGCGATACCCGAAATATTCGACGTCCGCACGCTCAGAGAAAGCCTCTTTCTCTTCGGCCCGTCGATAAACGGGAGAGCGAAAGAGAAGACGGGATGTGCGGATGGTATCGTTATTTCCTCGCAATTAACGGAAAACCTGCGTGCTCATTGATATTACGATCCGTTGATCACGGACATTCGTGTAGAACTGCATTTGCCTTCACGGATTCAGAGAAACTTTATTCAGAGTTTCCTGTTGTTGGTTAATGACTCTAGCGTGGAAAAGAAGCTGTAAGCGCAACGAAGATCTACGATCTGATGGTTGAAATTAATTGAGCGATGGGGTGTAAGGACTTACCGGATGTACGGAATGTTGGCTGGAATGTGGTACTTGGATCCAGGATCGAAATCGTCCTCGGATCTAAGGACGGGCGGTTTGATTCCGGCGTATTGCTCCATCAGTCGATGCCAGTGGCAATTGTAGTCTTCCCTGTTGATGTAACCCCTGAAAACGTCCCATCGCCACCTGTCCATCGCGATGCTGAAAGGTAGCATCACTAGCTTGTCCATCGCCAGAGTGAACAGATAATTAATGTCAGCTGTTGAGTCGTCGATGTACTTGTTACCTAGGCCTAGAGTTTGAAGGTGACGGGGACTGGAAACGCTGAGGGCGACAGCTTCGCCTACGGCTTCGTGGAAGCCTGTAACGAATTGAACGACGATCCTTAATTGCAATACCGAATACGGGCTTAATTCTGTTACATAAACATTCGGAATCATTTGTGGTTTTCGATCAGTGAATTTTTTCGTTTACATAATTTCTCGGTACACGCCGAAACCGAATCCCAGTTGTTATATCAGAGGCCCGGCCGGCAGAAGGCAATCAAGCGTGGTTGAGCGACTAGACGGTTACAAGAAACGCATTAGATCCATTTATTCCATTTGTTACACCTGTAGCTCTCGAAGACAGCAACCGCAAGGGAAAGTAATTGCTAATTATACAGATGAACTCCCGATCAATCGAATCACGGAAGCAAGGAGTTAAATCTTTCCAGCTCTTTCACGCGCGAAGGGTGAACAGAGTGGTAACTTAATTTATGACTGTTAATAGGAGTGTCTCGGAACAAAGAGCATTTACTGAGACCTGATATTAAACATGTAATTGTCGGTTCTACATTAATCGATGCTTCTATAGGAAATCGAAACGTTTTTGTTGTGCCATTGATGTAACTAGCTGCTAATCAGATAAAAAATAATGTATAATCGTCGTTCGCTAGAAAGCATCTATGATTATTAATAAGATAATTGAATTAAGATCTACATATATCTACCGTCATTTTCGCCGTTTTCGATGCAGCTATTCATATTACTCTACAAAAATTACACAAAGAAGTTCTTTGTAAGTGCAACCAACTGCAACTTCATGTAAAAAGTATCGGCTTGCTACATAGTAAAAAGGACTCTACAAATATTTATATAATTGGAATATTATCGTAACAGTCCGCTGGTTTTTCGACAACAAAAACGCATTGTTTACGAGATACCGTAAACTGCAAGGTCGGATGCACCGTCTGAGATTGGTTCTCCCCGCGCAAAACTCTATCGAGGCGAACGACCGGTTGGCGGAACGGTGAAAGCGCGATTATACCATAATAAAAATATTTTAACGATCTCCCGTACGGTCTGTCGAGAGTACTCGCACATCCACTCGTACTCGGGCGAATCTACCTGGAGCGTATCGCTCTCGCTCTCGCTTTCGCGCTATTACCTGTAAAAGTACCGTCCGCGGACCGCCTACCGGAAGTCGGACGGGACCGCTTACGTAACCGTGGCGCTCGTCGTTCCTCTATTTCATACGCGAGGCGTGCTCCTCCGCTTTGTTTCGCAGTTCTATTAATCGAGCAGCGAGCGACGGTTTCTTTTTTTAGAATGAGTGAATCTTTGCCACCATTGCCTTCTTTCAAAGAGAATGAGTCTCGGTCTTCATTATTTTCATTGAAAAAGAGTGAGTATTCGTCACATATCTCCCTTGAAAAATAGTCTCTATTATCTTTATTTCCTTTTAAACGAAGTGAAACTTTAAATATTATTTTTAATTTCATATTGATTATTTTTTTATTTATTATATGGAGATAGATGTAATTTAATTGACTGATTTCAGGATAAATTGCTTACATGGAATTATACTGTGTTCCTTCAATATATGCATTTATCAAAATGTATTTGTTCTCCTATATTAATAGAAATTAAAGTCTCATACATTATTGATATAAATTAGAATAAAACAACTATCGGTATAAAATTTCATTCGATTGAATTCTCTTATTTAATTCTAGTATTGAACGATGAAAATAACTGGATGATAATTTCAGAATATTACCTTCAAACAGCCTGTTTCGATCTTATACACTCTCGCGCGGGTTCATTTGTTCCATTGATGTCTAATATTAATGAATACCTTATCGCAAGATCACGGAATAGTTTCACCGATGTTCATGAAAGCAGCGGCAGGAAGAGTTAATTAAAAGTAAATCAGGAAATGGTAGTAAACGAATCGTACCTGGATTTGCCCCGTCCCTGAATTCCCGCGAAAGTCCGCTGTACCGCAGGAAATACTGAATGTGGGCCATCTCGTGGTGCACCGTGATCAAGTCCTTCATGGTGACCTTGGTACACATCTTGATCCTGCACGAGAAGCAGAGCCAATTAAGACGTACACCAAGAGAAGCCAATTATCTTGCCGCGCAAAGACACGGTTAATTCGATCCCCGTCGAGTTACCTGTAATCTATGCGATTGCAGAAATCCCAAGCGGAAGCCTGGCATATCAAAGGACGGTCGCCCGGGTCGGAGATTATGCTTCCGGCCCAGAATTCCGGCGGCAGCGCGCTCAAGTTCAAGGACAGGTAGAATTCCTCTGCTACCCTGAACATTTCTATCGGTGTGAATCCCTGTAGTAATTAATATTATTGAAGTAAATAATATTATAGATGATATTAAAAGTTAACGATAATAATGAAAATAATGAAAAAGTAAATAATATTATAGGTGATACTAAAAATTAATAATAATAATACAAATAATGAAAAAGTAAGTAATATTAGTTTCAATATTAATGTTAAAAATAAAATTTTTCTGATATCGGGTCTATTAATGATTAATCCACGATGTCTAAATTAAATTCCAAATTTTTTAAATAAATTTAATTGTATAAATATTCACAGACCGTATACATGTTTCTTCAAAGAGCGCTCGATTCGCATTTAAATCATTTTTTATTGAAAGATCTAATTAAGATAGATAATGGAACAGAAAAGCCGAGGGAATTGAAAACGTAAATGAATACTTCTAATTAATGGAGATCAACTTTCGCGCGAGCGTATCGCTAATTAATATCCGGACGGTTCAAAGTGCCGTCGCCATGTAATAAATTTCGCTCACAATGAACAATAAAGAGAAAGAGGCGAGCGAAAACGTTTCAGCATTTCTCGAATCGTCCCGTCGCGTTGTGGCTTTCGAATAATAACTTTGTAACATGTTACTTTCGATTCCACTCGGAAACAATGGCCGAGGCCGGTTGAATTCATTAACGAGTCTGTTCTCATGATAATGATTATATAATTCCTCCCCGTTACCTGCGCCTGCATTTCCTGCGTCACGTCCAGGTAAACCTTACCCGGGTAAGGTATCGTTACGTCGATGATGTTGGTCCACGACTGGCCCCATATGTTCCCTGAGAAAATGCAATCATCACATTTTTTTCTTTTGCGAAATCTATCCTAATAGAACTTGCATAACGCGCATTAATAAAACGTCGACGGAACACTCGTTCAGCTCAACTGTTTGCTTTCAATTTGTACCGAGTATGTGAGCCGGAAGCGGAGCGTGAGCACCGATCTTTTCAGGCCCGTACAGGTCCCTCAGCTTCCTTCTAACGTACGCGTGCAATTCTTCGTAAAGAGGCCTAATCATCTCCCACACTTGTTCGATGTCTTCCTGCAGGTTGGGGCTTTCATACGGGAACATCCAATATTCAGCAGCGTCAGTGAAATCTATGTAGAAAAATAATTCTTAGTATCTCTTCATAAAGTGATCTCCTTAAACTATGAAGCCTTCATTGAATTAACTCCTAATTTCATGGAATTCTCTCAAATTTTTCTTTCCCCTTTATAGATTACCATACTTTTCTGATAATTTATACTTCCCGATATCTTTCGAACTAATATTTAACTCTAGAAAGTAGACAGGCGCGATAATTGAATAATGAAAGAGAAAATAAAAGTGTTCGGAATGATTTCAGGTCTAGTAACTCGTAGCTACGTTGTTCATAAATTTCCATCGTGACTTGAATTTCTTAAAGATTATAAGAAGTTTTGTTCATCAAGTGTTCAACCTACTGTTCAACCTAGCAGCCTCATTGTTCAAGGTAACCAGCTGTTGATAAAGATCTTTGATCCTCATCCCGCTGCGCCTCCTCCACTCGGTCCACACGTATTGCAATTCGTCCCAGTTCCGGCTTCTCGCCATGATCTGCGCTATATCTGTGAAAGTGACACATTCCCTTTCGATTCGACGTGATTGATTTTCATCGATCGCGGACATCAGGTGGGCATTGAATTAATTGTGCACACGGGCCTCGGGAAGGAAGGAAAAAAAGGTATTTTCACCGGGATGGAGGAACACGTCCGTGCAGCTTTCACGTTGATCGCGCGATCAATTTGTCTTAGATGGTTTCTTGCGACACGTGTGATCTAAGCTGCACGGAAAGTGAGTTACCGCAGCGATTACGGCCTCGCGAAACGACTAGTCGACGTTTCTAGTTTCAATACCGCGACCGTCCGCGGAAGGCTCCGGCTTTTGCGTTTACTTTTTAGTCCTAGTTCATTAGACCCATCGTAATGAAATCGCGTAACACGTTTGTCCTTCCCGTTACAATGATCTGTGGCGTAATTAATGAAATTTCCGTGGACGTGAACATTGGGTTGTTCCGTACCTTGAACGTGTCTTTAACCCCTTAACCTACAGTATCATGAAAAACTCGAGATTAACATTTTAAACTGAATTTTACAGAACTCAGCGTTGTTTAATTTTTTTTTAATGTATATTAAGTAATAATTTTCTATTGAGAATTGTTAACCTTTGGAGTAAACGTATAGATCACAGTTTGTAAAAGTATTTAGCTATTCATTTGCTGCAGTAAATAAATTTATAAAATAAACAATACAAAAATTTGACGAAATTACATACAGAACCAATTAAATATTTTTCTCTTACAATTTCAAGGTATTTCAAAATTAGAGAATTTTCGAACTTTCAAATAGAAGATCCAACAGCTTCATATCTCCTCCATAATCATTGAAATTGTACCAGTGCTCTAATCGAAAGTTAATAAATAAACAATCGTCTCATAAATAGTGTAACACACGCATGAATGTTAAAAACTGGTTATTAACGAAACATTGTTCCTGGGTAGAATGATTCCAAGGAAACTTTATTACTTAATAAACAGTATTCCTAAGATCAGCATTGAAACGCCAGAGTCTGGAGATAATAGAGAGATTACAGGCGGCAAGGATGCACGGAATTAATTGTCGATGAATTTTCATGAACACGTTCTACCGCGGCCGAGTGAAATATTCGTTCGTCCGATCGCGCATTACGATCGGAGAGAGGCGCGCTTTCTTGCACGTAACAGTTAAAACGTGTTCCGCGGCGATTTCGCGCGGCCAGGCGCCGTGAAAATCGATGCGGCATCGATACCGTTTCATTCGATAGACGATCATTCTATGGAAACAGTGTATTACCTGGATACAAACGCAGTCCGCACCGGAAGGGATCGTTGTATGCGCAGATGCTAGCCTCGTTGTACACCGCCAGCATGTCGTTGATCACACGGTTGTACTGAAAATCAACGATCGCCATCATTTCACGATCATTTCCATAAAAGGGATAAAAAGAGGGTTCCAACAAACGCTGCCCGTTGTTTCCTGCATGCAGACACGCACGCGTTTTTCGTTTATTTGTAAGCGTTCGCCCGACACTCGAGCGTTACGTGCCAGAAGGAAATTCAGTCTCGAAACGAAACTTTCCATGTCGCGGGACTTTTTGCTCCGCTAGGAGTTGTAAGCGTTGTCGTTGACAAACGGAAACACAAAGTTGCTCGGCGAATAGTCGCGTCTTTCTTGTTCCCTGCCGCGAGCTTCGGTGATTTGAACGAGTGGAAAGCAGGAACCTCAATATTTCCTTTCGAGAATGATCGAACAGTAATCGGATATTAATTGGATTCTACATTTTATTTTTAAACGATAAGTGTCTCCGTGTATTTCGAACGTTTTAACGCTACATATTATTCAGGGTGGAAAGATTTGTCGTGGTATTTCATTTGGTTTTATCTTTACCCTGTCTAACTGGTCCGGCGGAAATGCGGCTGGTCCCACTACCGACAAGTATCTGAGCCGCCGTCTAATCACTGGATCCCTGATATTATCTTTATCGATCCTCGATATCAAGTACCAAGCTTGGTTCTGGAAATCTGCGTATATTCGCTGTGCTTCCAACTGGAAAGAGCGAATGTACTGTTTAGTATTAATTTTTTAGATTTCAGTTAGTATTTAAATTATTTGATAATTGGAATTGTTATTAGCAAAAAGTTATATTTATGCCGCTGGTATTCAGTAAAGTAAAATTACTTTACAAAACTGTTGTCTGTGTTTGAATTTTAATTGCAGAACGCGCACTAACTTTTTTGCAGTAGCTGGTAATTATTATTCGCCGATGAGGAATCTGTTTTGCGAAAGATGTGAGTTGGAATTAGTTCGACGAAGGCAATACAGCGATCGCTCGGAAGGCACCGGTGCGGAACTGGTTCGAAGTGCAAATCGACGAACGACGGGTTTACCGTTAGTGATAAAACCGTGGTATCTTTATTCTTCCTGGGATTAGAGATAGAAGAAGTCTAGGAGCGAAAGGAAACGCGTTGGAAAGCGCGAGGAATACTTCAACGAGGAAGTGAAACACTTTCTATGTCACTGAAATATTTGCGAAAGGAATAGGATAATGCATTATAGACAATCGCCAATTTTCATCGAGGAGAAAATTCCACGTATTAAATGTGTAATAATTCAATCTTAACGTAGAAGTATAAATGTCGTTAATATAAAGAATATCAGAAATACATAAATTTTTTTTGCAGAGAAATGAATTTCTATTGATTTTAGACTATCGTATAAAGATCTATTATTCAAAGGTTGATGCTCTACTTCTTACAGGATAATAAGGTAATGACAAATAAAATAATGCATTACGGATAATCGCAACTTTCCATCGGAATATCGAATAAATAATTCCGTATATCAAATGTGTAATAATTCAATCTTAACATGGAACTAAAAATGCCATTAACATAAAAAATATCAGAAATAGATAGGAATTTTTAATAGACTAAATTTCTATTGATTTTATAATTTTGCATAAGGTTCTATTATCTAAAGATTGACGTTAAATTTCTTAGAAGGTGATAACGAGGACAGGCATGCTGCAAAAATGATATTGGGCAACGCCATGGAATTCAAAGGTGGCGAGCGAGGAGTTTCACGGAACGAAAAAGGAAGACAACGTCGGACAACGATTGTCATTAGCATCACGCGACCCGGTACGCGGATTTCGCGTTGAAGGCTGAAAATTTCCGTTCTCGTACGTTCGGCCGGCGAGTGCGGTGGCTGGATGCGCGAGTTACGAAATCGTTCGGGACTCCGTTACAATGGCACCGGCTGAGAACATTTCCCGCGGAGGTGTTCGGCCTCTCGCGGACAATAATAAAGGCCGAGCTGCGCCGGAGAAATCCTCCTCGCACGCGAAATCAGGATTCCTGGAGGATAGATCGCGACGTTCGACGGTCCCACGGGCCGATTCGTAGAGGAGGTCGAGGTCTCGGGACACCGTCCCATCGAGAAACGTCGAAATGGTCACATTAACCTCTTCTCTTATGATATCGTGTTAGACTCGTGATGAAAATTTTAAACTGAATTCAAAAAGTTTCGATGTTGTTTACTTATGTTTAACATAAATTGAAAATTACTTGTCTGTTATCAGTTTCAGAGTAAATGTAGACATAGAATATATATAAAATTCTTTTCTTTCTTTACTGAATTATTAATGATGAAGCAGGTTTATCAAGCACGGTGGTAGGAAAAATTATAGAATAAAGGATTAAGTTGTACTATGTTTCAGAAAATGATTACAATAATAACATTTAGTAAATTTCATTGTAAAAATAAAATCTATGGTACCAATGCATTAAGTTTGAAATAGTAACGAGACTTCAATGGAATATCAATTTTTCTATAAATTATGTTGTCAAAACGTTGTAAACAAACTCCAAAAGTTATTGCTTAAAGCTGATAATATACATCTATTGCAATTTTAACCTATTTAATATTAAATTTGTAACTGTTCCAGCTGTGTATTAAAAAAGAAAAAGTATAGTGATAAGAAAGGTCAGTGGGCCATTTTTCGGCTTACACAGCCCACAGAATGAAACGCATGCGGGTATTTCGTTCGGCGATTCAGATATAAACCACTATCGCCCGGTCTATCCACAGAATTACAAGAGGAACAAACAAATTTCGTAGTTACCGCCTGTAGCTGCGTGTACTCGTTTACATCCGTTTCGTACTGCCATTGGGCAGCGACGTTGGCGCTGCATCTTTCAGTTCCAAGGAAATCCAATCTCGCTAAAATGTCCTCTATTTCAGCGTCCGTGGGAGGATACTGGCCGACATTATTGTTTCTCGGATCCTGCCTCAGCGGGGGTAGATCCAGTTGACCGGAAACGAGAGAGGAAGTGGCGAGAAGAATCACCGTGATTAACATTGTCTGAAAAGAGAAAAACATCAAGGTGAATCTCGATTTTACGGGGAGAAATGCGACTAACATTATTTGGAAGGACAAGGAACAATTTAAACCTCGAGTTCTAGATAAAAAACACCATGGTTACGTATTTAAAAATCAAAAGTTAAGTTGAGATAAATCGCACGAAGAAACATCGTGGTTGATAAATAAATCAAAAGAAAATAAAAAACAGAGAACAAATTGGATCTTGAGAAGAATCCTCTAACTTGAACCCAGAAGCAGGGTGAAACGGACATAGAGTATGGTATCCAAGATAATGGGAAGAGCTCGTGGAAGAAATTGCGGGCCACTTAACGTAATGAGAACACCGGTCAATTTAACCGAGGCAATTACGGCGCCGCGGAGGAGCAATATTGTTTTCATAAATCATGCCACGGCACCGGGAGCGATGCGTTTATGTGCAATTCATTTGTTGACTTCACGGTCACGTGTTACGTCTTCGTGTTACGTGTTTGCTCGCAGCATGAGAGGCTATTCATGCGCGGCAGTAGGTCATCCACGATCGCCGCGAGATCCTGCGACCTTGAACGTTCGAACCGATAGTGACACGTGAATCCGAGGCGTGAGAAATACATTCGCAGGATCTCTAACGCGATCGTCATGCCCTGACATCTAACCCTAGTTCTTCCTCGAGGATCAATCTTCAAGCAAGAAACGTGCAAAGGAAACTGAATAATTATCGTTCGTGCATGATCTATTTCTAGGAAACAACGCTTCTATTTTTAAGATACATAAATTATTCACTGAATTATTACTCGAGTTCATTAAGTTCCAATTTCTGTAAGAGTATTTTCCTTAAGGAAACAAGCTTCTATAGTTTCATAAGGGTTGCTCCCCTTTTAGCAACCCCTTCAAACTTCTTTCTCCAAACCCTCGCACATTCATCCTCTAAAGGAAGTAGCTCACAAGGTTCATACGCAAACAGATTCACTAATGTATTCATCAATCCCGTCGAGATTCTGGTTGGTCCACGCACTTTCACCCCCCCAGACAAGGTCCTCGAGGTCTTCCAAAATGAAGCGAGCACCTCTTCTTGTACAAGGATATTCGAGAAAACTGATTGATTGCAGATCACTGAATCATCGGTTAAGTCCAAGTCACCCCTGACGGTCACTCGAAGAGGAAGACTTACGGGTCCTTTGATCTTTCAGCGATGAAGCGTCGAACGGCCTGCTTTATTGGCCAGGACGCTGCTGAGTCCTGGCTCGATAACAAGCGAATCGCACGGGTGTCGCGGGTGTCGACGATGCACGATGAAACGCAACGACCAGTGACGAGCTACCGTATCGTTCTGGAGTCGCTAAAAGCCTCGTGGCTTACGGCAAGTGTACATTTATCCCTGCGAAGCAGTTCGAACGCGACCACGAGGAGGTCATCCGTAGCGAGAGGTGGGGATCCATGCACACCTCGGTGTCGTCGTCGCTTCGACAATGTCCCGCCGCGTGGGAGGACGTTAGAGGAAGGGAAAACGCCGGAAAATGGTACGGAGATACGTGACCTGGCCGGGAAATCAGTATTTTTCGGAGCAACCGTTGGCAAATCAGTTGGAATCGTTCCCATGAGGGTATAGAACGCAGATTCTTCAATTTTGGTTGGACAATTTATGGAAAAACTTGTGTAGCTGCATTTGATTAGACATGACTTACTGACGAAGTCTTCTTCATTTGATATTAAAGAATTCTTTTGTAATTAGAAATATTGAAATGTCATATTTATTAATTTTTCTGTTATCGATGCCAAAGTCTACGAAAGCAGTTAAGAATTCAAGAAGGGACGACGTTACCAAGGGACGAAATAAGAAATGGGTCGCTGAAAATCGAGGGCCATCTAGCCATTGCGAAACTCAAACTCTCACGTTGACAAGCGACATACTCGTCTGAACAAGCTTCATTGTCTTCCAGCGAGTATACGTATACACACACGTTCCTCTTGCATCTCGTAACAGTTTACTAATTTCCCTGGTTGCCTCGAAAACTAGACCAAACAACGGAGTCTGCGTTTGCGCGAGACTAATCGCGAAATTGGACAATAACTCAGCGATTACCATCTAATAAAACCCTCTTCCAATTTAGGGGGTTGTCTGAGAGAACATCTCGTGGAAGAACATCTTTACAGTTCCATTTATTTCGGGTGAAAGGGTTCGTCGGTTCCAGCGGATAATCAATCAAAACAACGACGGGAAAGATAGATCGAGACCCGCGGATGATGGATCGCGGGGAATAATGCGCGGAGATAAAGTTAGGGGATGAAACGGTAGACAGATTCGAAAGTTTGATCGACAGGGCCGAACGCTCGGGATTTATTTCGGCGGTTGAAACGAGCCTGCACGCGATACGTGAAAAGAAGCAGGCAAAATGACTGACGAGATGAATAATCCATGTCCGTTCGTCTAATTGCGCAATTATCTTTCAGAGCCAGCCTCATCGATGCCACTTCCTGCTTCGCCCCGGCCGGTCGACCGTCCTGAGAATTCAAGCGCCATTGTGTCACCGTCCCATCGGTCTTTAATTCAAATCGTGATTCATAATTTTGCAAGTTTTAATGACGTGGGAAGCGAACGGGGCGAAAATTGCGCCGCTACGCCGGTGGTCATTGTTCGGGTGAAGCTTTCGACGACGTTCATCGCGATCTTCCGCTATCGTGAGTCGCCCGACGATTCATTTTTCTCGGTGATTCGTTCGTTTCGAGCTTGGATGAATCACGCAACTTATCTGCGAACCTAGCCGTTTATTTTTGTTTGATTCTTTAATATCGATGTTTAAATAAAAGGGAAGAAATATATAATGATAAAATATGAATGAAACTATTGCGATTGTAATGCACTGTGATTCGCGTATCATATTTTCTTTGATTAACTTATTAGAGAAACCTCTCACGGCTTCATTCTTTGTTGAGATTTACGATAGTTCATTCGAAATGATCAATTTTTCACGGATTCCAGAGCGAACAGCCGTGGGAAATAGTCCGGCGCGAAATCACCGATCAATATTCACCGCGAAGACTCGTCCAAGGTGATCTCCGCGACGTGAAGAAGTCATTTCCATCGATCGCGGAACACGTCCGCTCGTGATGCATAACGACAGTGACTAAACGCGACTCATTCATCGGCATGAAAATTATAAACAACCGCGCCCTGCCGGCGGGGATAGATCCCACGATGATCTGGAACGCGTGTAAGTACCACGTAACTGCGGCGTCTACGACGGTTCACGAGGCCTTGAGTTATTACGGAGAACCTCTGCCCAGGTGCATGCGTTTTCCGCAGATTCTGGTGCGTTCAGCGAATCACATGTGTCCGCCATTTTTAAATACTTCTGCCAAGGATTCAGGTTTCATGTATCCACATTTCCGTTAGAATCTTTCAAATTAAATCTACCAAATAATTGAATTCTTGATTTTTAAGCTTGCTTATCCTACAACTATTAAAAATATTAAGATCAAACTTCTTTTATTTAAGAATTATTTAGTAAATTAATTTTTATGATATATCGTAACATGGTGATTTTAGGATTTTTAAGGAATATCGATTTTTATTTCGATTTGGAAATAACTGGGAGAATTTATAGTTAAAACTATGTAAGAGAAAAGTAAGTACCAAAAAACGTCTATTTGAAACCGACAAATCCGAAGGAACAATTACGTTACAAGACGGCCACTAATTGCCACACGAGCGAAATTGAATTAACACCGAGGACACGACGAATTCAGGTTTCAATGCCGATGGTGCGCAATCACGACGCGCCAAGTTTTCAACGTTAAAAGCGCGCCCGGTGTTCGCCCAACCAGCAACTTCGACAATGCTAATCCCGTCGGGAGATAATGCGTGCACCGGTCCCACGTACCGGCCGCAATTCTGGGTTCAAGTACGCGAACGTTTACGCGGCTCAGCCGTGCGTTTCTTCGACCTTTTTTGTGAATAGTTCTCGAGATGGATGGTGATAGATCATTCGAAAAAGTTTCTAATCCCTTTCTCTTCTTCAATCCTGTTCCCTTAATCAGTTGTACGTTGCGCAGAATTATTACGTTACTATTTTGAACAGAAAAATATCTTATAGGAAAAAAGATCGATGTTAACGTCTTATTTGTTCTATGGTGCCTGATGGAACCACATCTTAGTATTGTATATAAGGCGAAGAAAAAATATCGAGTATATAGAAAAGTAATAAAAATTCAACTATTGTAAAAGCTTACATTCATTTATATATACCATTGAAATTACGAGTGTATCATGTGACAGAGTTAAAAGGTATTGAAATTGATGTATTTCATTAAGACTATAATAAGTTCATATAACTTGCAATACAGGTTAACTTCAAATTACGTTTAAAAGTTTAAAATTTAAAAGTTTCGTTATAAAAGTAGCTACTGAAATATTAAAGGTTGATTGCATCGAAAAATGTTAAGATATACAAAGTACTTTTGTCGCACGTGGCGGACGTTAATGTGTAAATAAAGGAATTGCATAATAGCGATGGAAGACAGAGAACTTTCGATCTTATTCGACCCACTTCCATTTTTTCCTTTCATATACCCATGGAATTTATTTTCTAAGAACGATTCTCAGAGGCTCGCTTCCCTCTTTCTTCTTCGATCGCCGGTTATTCAAGTCGAACGACGTGAAACATTCTCGTAAACACAATACGCTTCCCTCGCGTTCTGCGCGCACGTTCGTTTCTCTAATTTATTCGTCGGCTCTCTGCTTTTCATATTCGTACGATTAAAATCGGGTGACGCAAGCCGCCTTTTGTCTACAAAACTTATTGTTCCTTGCAAGAAATATCGACTCACTTCCCGTTCGATCCGTTTCCTTCCTTTTCGTGGCTTTCTTCCCTCTAATTGGCGTCGTGTGACGCAGGATTCAGCATTTGAATAAATTCAGCAATTACGGTAAAACTTGGTGAGAAGGAACCGCGAGGATACGTCGGGAGATCCGCTTTAAATACAATCGCGAGTGTTTGAACCGAGATTAATCGCGAATGAAAGAAGAAAAAATTAATTCGGGTGTTGTCTGAGTGAACTAGAACAGAACAATTCTTTTTTCCCCGTGTAATAACGCTTTCGTTATTCCAGGAATTCGTCGAGCACGAGATTCGCGGAAGGAACGAGTGCGATTTAATCAAAGTAATCTCTTCGAACGAAAGGAAATAAGTCACTACCAATTACGTACGCTTTAATTGATAGTTTCACAACGCTAAAAAGTCGATGTAACACTATGTTAATAGTTTCCTAGTCATTAATAAGTGATTTAAAGGAATTTAACCCCTTAAAATTAATTGCAACGATGTAATAACCACATAAGTCAAAGTGAGAAGCTATTCTAGTATTATCAATACTTTATCTTTCAAATAAATCCATATTTATAATTTATTAAAAATTTCTTTGGGTTTCGTAAATTATAAGGGCGAAATAAATTTAAATTTGTTAAAAATAAAATTTCTATGTAAAATAAATATGTTAAGACGTTGAATAGATTTTGAAGGATTCAAAAAGATTTTCGATGATACGATGACGATGATGAAATACAAACTCATCGGTTTTCCCGTTTCTTCCGTCGCACGAACACACGACTTCGCAAGTCGAGCGATAATCGCTATGTAAACGTAATTACACGTTGGCAACCCTCAATCCTCGTTGTTATTAAAAAACGACCGACGAAACGTGGGAGAACGGTGATGGATGTGTTACAGGTATTACGACGGTTTCAGGATTAGTTGAATTGGTGTGAAATTAAAGGCAAAGGTTGATTTACAGATCAATCTACTTTACGACGATTGTCTTGTCAATGAATCATAAGTAAATATCGTTACGAGAAAATTGGAATATCGTTAATGGCTCGTTAAAAATGTTTCAAATGAAATCGTTATTCGTAATGTTGCGACGATTCTCGCGAGAATTTCCGCAGATTTGACGTGTAGCTGCATGGAATAATTTACGAGGGAGGACACGCGAAATTCAAAGCAATCTTCCCGGTTCCATTTTCGTCGCAGTTTGTAATTCAAATGAGGAACCGAAGCTTACCTTTGCATGGGCGACGGGACGAGACGGATCGAGACAGTTTCTGGACAATTCGAGGAACGAGCCGTGTCACAGGCAATCTGTAACACGAGACAGAGGAACAATTTAACGACTTGAACCTCGTTGACGCTTGAAAAGGAAACCGTACTTCGGGATCGTTATGTATGACCCATTAGATTAAATTTTTGATCATTTCTCACGAAAATGGAGATTATTCTTAACGCTGTGAAATATTAATCTGATTCGTATATTGCACTGTCTTCCCGTTAGAATCTGCAGAACAATGAGTGTCAAGAAAGAAATGAGAATTGATATAATATTTCTTTTATTTATTTCATTTCCTTCGTAAAATTATCAATTATGAAATAAGATAAACATACCAGATAATAAGTTTCTCTCAAACAATAAATAACAAACTCAAAGACAAAGTTGATTAATTTTCTATAAGAAAAATTTAAAAACTCATTAATCAGGAAATTATTTGAACGAAAAGAGATGCAGAATTTTCAATCGAATTTTAAAACTAGCAGTTTACCGAGCATGATACATTTAGGGTTAAATATAAAAAAATCATTTTTCTAGTAGTTTCAGGGAAATTGTTGTCAGTCTATATAATAATTGTATAATACACTTAACGTATTACGCATGGTTAGGCGTACAATGACAATTCTGGCAGTGGATGGCAAAAGAATGCGGGACACAACCCTCTCATTCTGTATCGCGTAATGCATCGGTGCACACGAGTTTTCGGGCCCATGTTTAAGGCAGTTTTCTCCGTATTGCGCAGTCATTAACGGGATTGCGCATTGTCGCTCGTGTCTACTCACGAACCACTTGAATCCCTGGCGATTGAGCAACCCGCAACCTTCCATTTCCTCCACCTGTGCACGCGGGACCGAACAAAATCGAGGATTATGTTAATCCGAACCGATTGTTCTTACGATGAACCTTCAGTTTTAGCTCGAGGTCGAATGCGAAATTACGAAACACGAAAAGATCTAGATACTGTCTGGTATTAAACCCAAAATGCATCTTAATCTTAAATTTCAATCACCGAAAATACTGCTTGCCATAGCACAGCTATATAAAATTCATTTAAAATTATTCTGACCAAACTATGAAGCTGTTTTCGTTCAAAAATAAATGGCAATAAATTACAGAAAAGTATATATGATAACTGCATTTAAAATGTATTCCAAATAGAAAAGTAAAGAAATAAACTTTTATATTTATTCAAGAAATTGCAAAAGTGAAGTAAATTGAAAAATTATCACTTCAAACATGCAAATCTGTCTCGAACGATCAATAATTCCAGCATAAGGAAATTGCGGCAGAGACAAAGGCGAAAGAGCAACAGTCATTGGAAAGATCAATCATAAAAAGCAAATACTGGAATGAAAACCGTGTTAGTTAATAAACAAATATTCATGAAACTAGCATTGAAAAGTTAACTGTAGACGCGTTGATAGTGTTTCCATATTCACAGGAAGATCAAGCACGCGAAACAGCCTCCGGGCTTATCACCGATCTACACTTGACGATACGGTGCCGGTTAACGTAATTAGAAGAATTATTAATTGCCGATAGGATCGGCGAGAGAGGAAGGAGCGTCACTTACAATGAAGTCACAGTGGTGCGTATCCTGAGGCGTTGCGTAAGGTACTGAACTGCGGAAAGAAACTGATAAAGGAGCCGAGGACACTGGGACAAGTGGAATTCTATTCCCAGTTGTCGCGTGTTTGCGTTTTTACAATGTCCGCCAAGACTTTACTTTGCATTATTTTCTCAATTGCCGCACGCATACATTAACGAGATACCCCGTAATTTCATGATTTCTTTTCCATCCGTCTTACCTCTTATTTCCTATCTTTCTATCTATCTCGTGTTCAATGTTAAACACTCTTACCGTTCTTTTCGTATCTTAGATAATTAATTCTATTATAATTTCGAATACTATAAAAACTACTCGAATTATTGAATATTTAAATTCCGAAAAATTCATCGGTAGAATTTACTGAATTATATATTGAATTCAAAATCCCGCCAGAACTCGAATTTAGAATTGACTTGTACACCCATCTAAGTGTCACTTGAAGAAACTGCATGTAAACTGCAGTATTTCACCTGGTATTAATAATATCGTAGCGACTGTACAAATGGCGAGTTGTCTCTCGTCGGTGACTGTACCTAGCGAGTAAGCAGTAGATTTCTCGGTAAGATAGGAAGAGTATCTACCAGTAATAGCTAAAACAGAGTTCTACTATGTCAGTACATTCAAACTCCGCTTTCCCTTTAGTATTATTCTCGCCAATTCGAAACGACTGCACAACATTAGAAAGAAATTAATTCCCGACAAGTAGCGTTTGATCGAGCCAAATTGCAATCGACGGATTGCAATGATCGCTGTTGTGTCCTCGTTGCTGCAATGACAAGAAGGGGATTGTCGCAATCGTTCAGTCAAAGGTAGAACGCACGCTTAATGGAATTTACTATTACGCAAATTTCGACGGTCCGGGGCAGGCCACTCGATTTTCTCAAGTGAATTATTTCGCCGACCATGACGAACGAGCTCGGTAATCGTTTTTCCTGGACGAGCAGCCGCGGGCGTGTTACGTGCCCAGGTATTGTTATTACAATA